TTAAAATAAAAATCAAATCACATTCTACATTAGAAAAAAATCATGCAGTTTCAGAAAATGTCTTCTTTTATAAGTCATACTCCAGCCTACTGGAAGGAGGGGTGGGGGTGGGGTGAGAAGTGAGAGCAGTAGATGTGATATCTACATTCCTGTGAGACTTTTTGATGGAGGCCCACATGACATGGGTCTAGATGAAGTCACTATAAAATGGGTGCACAATTGGTTGAAAGTGTGTTCTCAAGGAGTAGTTATCAATAGTTCACTGTCCACTCAGGAGACAGCATCTACTGGGGTCATACATAGGTCAATACAATACTATTCAATATTTTCATTCAGGACTTGGGTAATGAAATGGCACGCATGCTTATACATTTTTTCATATGACACTAATCTGAGAGGAATTGCAGGCACTTTAGAGGACAGGATTAGAATTCAAAATGTTCTTCACAGATTGGAAAATTGGTCTGATATCAACAAGATGAAATTCAAGTGCAAAGGACTTCACTTAGGAAGGAAAAAATCAACTTCACAGCTACAAAATGAAGAATAACTGATTAGTCAGTCGTACTGCTAAAGAGGACCTGAGGATTACAGAGGATCAAAAGTTGAATAGGAGTCAATGTGATGCAGCTGTGAATTAAAAACCTATTATCATTCTGCAGTGTATTAACAGAGGCATCATGGCTGCGTCTAGACTGGCAAGATTTTTGTTCTTTTGTCTACACTGGCCGCAAGTATTTGCGCAAGAACACTGACTTTGTACTGTACAAAATCAGTGGTTCTTGCGCAAATACTCCAATGCTCCCACTCAGGGATAAGCCCTCTTGCGCAAGTATTCTTGAGCAAGAGGGCCTGTGTAGACAGCCAAGTTAATTTCTTGCGCAAGAAAGCCCGATGGCTAAAATGGCCATCGCTTGTGCAAAAGAGCGTCTACACTGGCACGGATGCTTTTGCGCAAAAGATGTCTTTTGTGCAAAAGCATCCATGCCAGTGTAGACGCTCTCTTGCACAAATACTTTAACGGAAAAACTTTTCCGTTAAAAGTATTTGCACAAAATCTTGCCAGACTAGACGCAGCCCATACGTAAGACATGGGAAGTAATTGTTCCACTGTACTCCACACTGGTAACTTCTCAGTTGGGGACAAATTGAGGATAGTCTAGAGAAGAACAAAAATGACAAAAGATTTACAAAAACCTGACCTACGAGGAAAGAGTTAAAAAACGGGAATGTTTAGGCTTGAGACAAGACAACTAGGAGTTGATAGCAGTCTTCAAACATGTCAAGGGCATATGTGCAAAGAGAACAGCGATCAACTGTGCTCCAGCAAAGACAGAAAAAGTAGTAAAGGCTTAAGCTGCAGCAAGGGAAATATAAGTTTGATATTAGAAAAAAAAAACCATCCTCATTGTGGAGGTAGTTAAGTACTGCAACAGGCTTTCTAGAGAGGTTATGGAAATCCCCATCACTGGAGAATTTTTAAAAAACAGATCAAACAGATACCTGTCAGGGATGGCCTAGATTTATTTGGTCCTACCCCAGCACTGGGGGCTAGATTGGATGATTGCAGAAGGTCCCTTCCAGCCAGATGTTTTTAGGATTCTGTTCAAGTGACCACTTTTAGGGTAACCTGTTCTATTGCAGCTCTTAGCCACTTTATAACTGTACTTAAATTCAGTGGGATATCCAACTGCTAATATATATGTTGTACCCGTTTCCCTTCCCTGCAACTTGTAATAGAGCAAAAGAGGGACAAATGGAAAAGGCAGTAAGCAAAAATGACATCTGAGGAAGACAAGAGGCAAAGCGGGACAATGGATAGGGCATTAGATTAAGCATCAGGAGCCAAATGGTTCTAATTCCAGTGACCTCAGATGAGTTTTTCCTCTTTGCCCATCTTCTCCTTACGCATTGCACGCTATATGGGGTGGCCCTATCAGCTTAGCTGGCATATAGTTAATACAATCTCTTGCTCTGAATAACTTTCCGATAGGGAACATTGCCAAACTTTTCTTCTGATGATTGTACACACATGGTTTCCAGGAAAGCCTATTCCCAAGAGAAGTACATGATAGTGTGGGGAGAGGCAAGGGATACTCAGAGATTTTAGATGTTGCAGGGAATGGAGGCTGCAGGTGTAGTAGGGGAGAACTTAAACAATGATGTGCATTGATCAGGATGCACAGGGAAATGAAAACAGATGCATGGGTGGATTTAAGTGGCAGGCTGCAACTTTATTAATTTAACACAGAAGAAGGGCCCTCTCTGCCCCTTCAGAGCCGGCATTTAAGTGAATCCAGTGCAGGTTTACATATTTTCAGGTTTATAGGAAACGTACCATATAATCTAGGGATAGTCAATAGGCAGACCAGAGACCAAATCTGGACCACCAAATGCTTTTGAATGGACCCCAATAGCTTTTTATTTACTTATTTTCTCAGGAGACTAAATATCGGCCAAGAAATCTGGACCTGGACAAAATAATTGACTGCCTCAGATATACCCCATGACTCCGTCCCCCCATGAGGGGAACAAAGAGCCCAAAAGAAGGACCTCCTCAGTCAGCAGGCCTTCAAGACTTGCATTTGCCCACAGGCCAAGGGTCTGATGGTGGTCTTATTTCTGGGAGCTAGCTTCTCCCTGCCCTCCCCAGTATCATTTGAGCAATGATATTTTTCTTCTGCCTTCTGGCTACTCTCTCTGGTTCCCTCAGGCCTGAGGGCTGGTGCCAGGAGTAGCCACCAGATGTAAGGGCTGAGCCAACTCCCATACGTATTGACAGAAAAACGCCCAATGACTTCCATGTGTGTTAGACCAGGCCCTTGTATATAATAGAATGTGTCACTGTTACAAGATTCCTCTCTGCTCTCTCTTTCTTTTGTGTTTATCAACCACCTTCTGTATAGAAGTGTCTTAAAATTTGTTCATTATTATTGGTTTATAATCATGGAGTTTAAAGCCAGACAGAACCACCAGATCTTCTAGTCTGACCTCCCACAGACTACCAACGCCCACATGCTAACCCCAACATCGGAAAGGAGATCCACACTGCCCTAGGTCCTGGACAATCCCGTGCCAATGACCTTACAATCTAAACAGACCAGACGTGTGGGGCGAATTCATTTGCTGAAGATCTCACAGCAGATCAGTGGCAGAATTAGAAATTGAACCCCCACCTTCCAGCTCGCACCCTTCTACACAGAAGGGTCCTTCCACCTGCACTCAGCATTCCTAGCTGAAATGCTTGGCTACATCTAGACTGGCATGATTTTCCGCAAATGCTTTTAATGGAAAAGTTTTCCGTTAAAAGCATTTGCGGAAGAGAGCATCTAGATTGGCATGGACGCTTTTCCGCAAAATCACTTTTTACGGAAAAGCATCCGTGCCAATCTAGACGCGCTTTTGCGCAAAAAAGCCCCGATCGCCATTTTAGCCATCGGGGCTTTTTTGCGCAAAACAGTACTGTGCTGTCTACACTGGCCCTCTTGCGCAAATGATTTGTGCAAGAGGGCTTTTGCCCGAACGGGAGCAGCATAGTATTTCCGCAAGAAGCACTGATTTCTTACAGTAGGAAATCAGTGTTCTTGTGGAAATTCAAGTGGCCAGTGTAGACAGCTGGCAAATTTTTCCGCAAAAGCAGCTGATTTTGCAGAAAAAACTTGCCAGTCTAGACACAGCCCTTGTGTACTGGGAGGCACCGTTCGTTAGTACTTTGCACCAATACCTACAAACCCTGTTAAAGCAGCAATGCATAAACATGAAAGAATTATGGAAGGGAATGCATGAGGAGATGGCTACATGGCTGAATGAGTGCTGACAGACTCCTAGCCCACACCCAGCCTCTCAGAGGCTACCAACAGCACAAATAAAAAGTGCACTAATAGGAAGTGAAAGGAGCTCATTAGTGCCATCAATAAATCCCCCAAGTAAATTAGGAGGAAGAGCAGTGCAAACAATCACCACCACTAGTAAGCAAATAAATGAAGATTAATCACATTGTAAACAGCCCCACAGACACGCCATTTGTCAACGGAACATCATTTGTACAGGTCTTCATTATTTCTCCTCCCTGCTGTGAAATTAGCCTGACAGACACTTGCTCAACGGCAAGGTAGCATTGGCATCAGCAAACAGAGAGGTGCATCCCTTTGAGCAGTAGATGCAAACATGCAGACCTTTCCAGACCAGACTGCCTTTACAGAAATAGGTGACTCTGTACCAGACTATGTCTAGCTATGCCTCCTTGGCAATCAGAGCATTCGTTAGTGTAGATACAAGCATGCTAGGGAAAGCCCAGCAGCTGCTTATAACCCTAGGGCAGTGGTTTGCAATTTTTTTTTCTCATGATTCAGTTGAAGAAAATCGTTGATGCCTGCGACCCAACATGATTTGACTAGTCTGGGCCCCAGGGTGGGGGCTAAGGATGAGAGCTTTGGGGTACAGAAGGGGGCTCCAGGGCTGAGGCAGCTCCTGGTCAGTGGTGCAGCAGGGGTGTTAAGGCAGCTTCCTGCCTCTCCTGGCTCCCAGACCATGCTGCGCCCAGAAGCAGCCAGCAGCAGGTTCTAGCCAGTGAGAGTGCAGAGTTAGTGCTCAGGGCAGGGGCAGTGCGCCGAGCCCATGTGCTCTGTCTCCTCTTCCCCAGCTAGGAGCCAGGCCCATCCCTGGCTGCTTCTGGAGCACAGCACAGTCTGTGGTGCAGGACAGGCAAGAAGCTGCCTTAGCCCCTCCACTGCTCACCTGACACCCCCCCCCCCCCCGAGCCAAAAGGAGACCCGGGGCCTGACATTCCATGCCCGGTACTAGGTCGCCTCCCGTAGTTTAAAACCCCCCCCACTCTTGGACATGACTTAGGTGCTTAGTCCCATGTTTGTTTCACTGCATTCTCTGGCATGTCCAAAGGGCCCGTGGGTCACTACAGCTCCCAGCGGGACTGCCCGAGGAAAGGCGAGCTCCTGTGAGCAACGGCAAAGCCCCCGTCACGTCACTGATTGTTTCCACAGCTGCTGCCGACCCGGTCAGCGTGCCGCCTGGAAGTTCAGAGAGGAGCATCTGGTGCAATGAACACAACATAATCCATAAGCGCTTAGATGTGATTGAAGAGGTAAGAAAGGGGGCAGCTTGTCCAAACCACAGCTTGGTCTCCCCAGGCTGACCAAAAGGGTGGGCAAAAGGCCACATTCTCAGGTGTTTTTCATCCCTGGCTCAGTTTAGCTAGACCTTCCAGGTGGGGCAAGGAAACCTGCACTATGTGCTGCAGAACTAAATGCTGATGGCAAGAGATGAAAACTTGGCCCCACTACAATCTACAGTAATTTTGCCATTGATTTCAGAGGAGCCAGGATTCCATCCCTAGTATAGCTCTAAGTAGCTGGAGCAGAGCTTCCATAAACACCGGTGAGAGTCTGAAGATCAGACTGGATCAGAAAAGGAAGGAAAGGGAGGCCTCTTTCCTTGCAGCTGTTTAAATGGTTTGTTCATCCTACGTTACATCAAGAGTACATTTATAGTCCTTAATTCTTCATTACGCCCTGGAAGCACATTCCACACTGGAGTGGTGTGTCTCACGTGCGCACCTCAGAAGAAAGTTGCAGATTAGTTATGGTAACAAAGGCACCACCTCCAGGGAACCCCCTTTTGGCATGAGGTGGCCCTGCAACACCCCCACATCAGGGGGTTTGCATCTCTCCTGGGCCCTCAGAATTCAACCCACTTGAGAGCCCACAACACACACAGGCTTTGCCAATGTTCCTACGTTACGTTAACGCAGACAGAATCCTCCTGCCCCTCCTCAGCTCTCTCTTCCCCAGAGCACTGATTCTCCCCAAGCACAACCGGAACTACAGTGGGCTTCCAACTCCTCTGGGCTGCATGCTAGAGAAAACCAGGCCTCTAACCCTCCTCCCCAGAGCACTGACAGGATTTTCCCTCAGAGTGCCTTCCTGCCTGCAGGGCTACACCGCATCGCTCCCTGAAGGGGAGAGGTCACTCACCCCTTCCTCTTCTCTCTAGTCCTCTTCAGGAACAGTAGCCCCAGGCTTGGAGCCTGGCTTAGTTCCAAGGCTTACTACAGGAACTAGCCACACCCCTCTAGCTCATTCTGATAGGTCCAGCTCTACTGGCATCCTCCCTCTTTAAAAAAAACCAACAAAACTCTACAGCCAGCACAGGTGTGGCAGGGCAGGGTCTGGCCCCAGGCCTGTAAGGGGCAGCCAACAAAACCCTACAGCCAGCACAGGTGTGGCATGGCATGGTCTGGCCCCAGGCCTGTAAGGGGCAGGTCACCCTGTTATTACCCATTGCTGAAGGATCATATTGACTTGCTGCATTCAACCCTTGATTAACTATTTACTGAGGCTTCACTTAGTCACCCTTTACAAACTGTGTATAAAATGTGCCCATTACTGTCTTGCCGTGATGTAGAAAGCTCTTGCAATACAAGATATATGCTCAGCACCAAGTGTTTTCAATGAGCAAGCAGGGCTGGTACCTAACATGCCTCACCTTTCTGCAGTCCCTCCACCCAGCCCCTCTGGATCTAGCTTGCCCATTGGTTTTGTTTTCCTGGGTGCTCTAACAAACACACACATCCTTGTGAACCCTCCCTCCAAAAACCAACATTACAAACAGCCCTCTTTAGTGAACGGCTATGTTTAAAGTAAATCAATCAACCAAGCATAAAGATTTAATCTCTTATGGCCACCAGAGGTCAGTATGACACAATAGATAACAAGTACAGGGCTTGAACTTAGGTCTAGCTAATGTCCTGAACCCCCATTTGCAGGTGTGGGCCTCTTTCTCCTCCACCCGATGCTGAGTTTCCTGCCTCTGTTTTTATTAGCAGGTAGAAAAAACAGTTGACTATCTAGAGTCAGAAGTGAAGTCATTACTGAAGGAAATCACTGAGATGGCATGGAATGCTCCCATTGCTCCTGGAACCCCCTTCATGGACATTTTTGATGGTCTGTACCTGCTAGGGATATTATGTAGTAAGGTCAGCTATAGTGTTTGTTACTCTACACCAGTATCTGATTTCTCTCCCTCCCCTCCTCGTCCCCACGTGTGGCCAAACATGGTCCTTTTAAAATTACTAGAATGATTACACTTTTGAACTGCAGAGGTTGGACACAAAAATGCATGCATGCATGCATGAAGAGCATCTGCAAACACATAGGCCCAGAGAGGTGAAGTGACTTCCGCAATGTCTATCTGTTCTATACAAAATCTTCTACTGCACTCATCACCTAGGCAGCCAAGCACGCTCCAATCACGCATTAGGTAACGTGACTCAAACCCCGTGTGTTTTGTGTTCTCTCCCCAAAGCTGGGGGTAGGGCACGTGCAGGGAATATCGGGTTTTGCTTGGGTGGATTTTTTAAAAACATACACATAGCTGGGTGTTTTGAAAAGGCAGGTTGCAGAGGTGTGCAATGCACGAGCACACGGAACCCAAAGTTTATGATGGATCTTGGTTTGTGTGGAGCTCATGTTGCAGGTGCAGCACCCTGAGAAACCTGTCCTCAGGTCAGCACCCAGAGCTGGGTTTAGAACCAAGGGCTCCTGCCTCTCTGGCCAGTGGCAATTCGTTAAATCATGTTGCCTTTCCATTAACAATGCTTATTGATCAGTCATTAATTCTCTTCCCTACATTAGCGACAATTCTGAAAAAGTTAGAAGGACTGTAGATTTAGGAAAGGCTCAATATATACTATTGTGGGAAGAAATTGTTGAATGGCCCAAGGATTGCGGGGACCTCCCTCTGTGACCCAATGAATCAGTAGAGTTTCTTTCATACTTCAAAGAACAAACAAGAGACAGGTTCTGCTAAGTGTCAAAAAGCTCAGACATGGGAAGTGTCTGTTTGATCTTCATATTACCAAAAAATAATACCAAATCTTTTCTCCACAGATGCCAGCTGAGCAGCAGAACAGTGGATGAGAACAGAATTTAATGATGTTCTACAGTATGGTTGTGTTACATAGTTGCCCTTGGTTGCTTTAATAAGCCTGGTAGGATTTCTAGAGATCAAAGAGGGAGTAAGAAGTCAATTCCTTTGTGCTTTTGAATAAAAATAATTGCTTTTCACATATTGTTTTAAAGTTTTATCTTTTCTCACAAGCAGCCCCAGACTCATGCTTAACAAAACATGCATTTGGAGGGTGAGTGTCAAAGATTCTTGAAAAATCTCACCCTGATCCTTTTTCCTTATAACCTGGGCCAGCTCTCACCTGACTAACTCAACTACCACAGTCTTAGAGTCCAGAAGGGAGGTGTTACTCCTTTCTATCTAGAAATTCAGCTCTTGTTACCATTTGTCCTGGGTGAAGACAGGCTTTCAATTATGGTTTCCTTTCAGAATTTTCTTAAGGCACTGCTAGGCTGACAGGACAGAGCTAGGGGCGTTTTGGCATGAGCTACCAGCATGCACCTACCTTAGCCTGAAATGTGAATGGCACATCCTAAACTGGAAGTGAAGTCACCTTATTCTAACAGTGCCACGCTGCTTGCTGTGGAAAGGTGGAGCTCAACTGATGTGGAGGCCCACAACGAAGGCATTTGCAGCAAATAAAAATCAAAAGGCTGAAAGCCAAAGAGCTTCTGAGGTGAAGGTAAATTTACTCCCTCGTTGATTGTGAGGAAGGATTTAGTAGATAAAGGTTAAGACAAATTGAGCTGTAAAACCACAGTGGGCAAAGCAGATTTTAAAAGTTTGAAGCCACTTGCCTCCTGTCCCGTCATTAGGGCTCAGCCAGGCATCTCTCTGCAGAATACCACCGACAGGCATTTGCTTATGACGTTTCAAATCTGCATTTGGAAGGCCTGGGCTTCTCCCAGTGTAAACAGTGTGATCTCTCCTAGAAACAAGCGCCTGGCAGAGTTTTGGTAGAGAGGAGGGGAAAGGATAAAATCAGTTAACAGGGCTTTGCATTTTTTTTTAAATCTTTCCCTCTGACAGCTCCAGATCACCTCCTATTCTCTTATAAATTTTGATATTTTCCTTCTTTGGGAATGATAAAATGAAGAGATAAGGGGCAGAGTAGAGAGATTTGCATATTTGGCACATAAGCAGTGATTAACCATAGTCAAACACCCACATCTAATCAGCACGTGGGATGTTGCATAAGCAAAGTAAAACAGAAATAGCTATGCACAATGAGCAAGACACTGATTGGCTAAGGCAGTTTTGTTTGTGAATAATACTTAATCAGTTCCAGCAGAGTATTTCCCAAGAACAGTGGTTTAACTGAGTCACAAAAAAGAAAAAAAAAAAGCACAGCATGATAGTAACAACAGAAAGGCATTCAGGGTGATTTAAAAGATATATGGCTTTAATTTTACAATCCTCTTTTAGACAAACATATTGATTTTAAGGCACAATCCACAACATTAACTGGAGAGGCCGAGTTTATATAGATGCTCCATTCTTGTGATATTTGCAGTGAAGCCTGAAGAGCAGAGCAGTTCTTCCTTAGAAAAAGAATATTTAATAAAACTTCTTATACAATTTAATTAGATGCAAAACAAACTAAGACCTGTTCCATTCATGCACACAAAATCATTGTTGTGTACAACAAATACAAGAAAATTCACACACAAAAAGAGAGACTCATACAATGTCCATACAATAGGAACCTCCAAAACAAAATCCAAGAAACCCCCAGTCATCCTTGTGGACAGTAACAAGACTTATTTTTTGTACCAGGAGATAAAATTATTGTAAGCTAAGGAAAATAATCTGTTATTCATGAACTAGAGAGTGATTAAAAAAATCTTGAGCAGTTTTTACAATAGCTAGATTTTTTTGTGTTTATTATATATTTTTGGATGAAAAAAGGGGATGATATGTAGAGCTAGTTTTACATACACTGTAACTTTAGGTAAACAATTCATGGCTTTTTTTTGGGGGGGGGGGAGGAAACAAACCAACCAACCAACCAAATCCAATATTGATACATTAAAGCGATAACAGAAAAGCAGCTGCTTTTTAAAAAGCTGAAAGCTCCACTTAGTCGTTTCCACCACACAACTTGAGCAGGATTTTCCGGTAGTCTCCTGAAGTATCACTCTAGCAACAAATACAAAGGGGAAAAAGAGTTAGGAAAGGAAGCCATCCAATTGTTACACTTCTTTTTTGTTTTTTATTTTTGGTGATGTACGGATCTGAAGATTTAGAACCATGGCAGCAACAAGGACTGTAGCAATGGCTAAAAATGGACTGAGGGGAGTTTTTAATAGAGGCACCTTCATTATTCTAGACTTCACATTTGAATTCCAAAGCCGCCCAAGCTCATAAAGAATTGACCTCAACCACAGTACAAGTCCATAGGAGTAAGATCTTTAGGATTTATCTAGTAAAAACTAGGGATGTTAAAGACCAGTCGACTACCAGCAAATACTTATCGGATAGTTAGTCGACTAGTCGATTCCCCCCGCGCCTTGCTGCCTCTAGAGGCAGTAAATGTGGAGGGGGAGGGAAAGAAGGGGTATTTGAAAGCGGCAGCGCTGCATAGCTGATCCCTGGCTCAGCTGTGCGGCACGGTGTGCGTGGAGCCCAGGGTCAGCTGGGGACTCCCCAGCTGATCCTGGACTTCAGAACGGCATTTCCATGGAACCTGGGATCAGCTGGGCAGTCCCATGATTCAGCATCTGGAGGGGAGACTCTATGGTATGTACAAGAATCAATGGTAGGATTTTTTTTTTAAAAGGGCCTCACTGTGATGTCCGCGTAGAGGGATTTGCCATACATCCTCTTGTATTCAGCACGTATGTCCAGCAAGTCGACTTCGCTGCGTGATACCAAGATTCGAATCAGAGTCCTGTCTTTTGTTCCCGCTCCCTGTGAAGAAACCAGCACAGTGCATTAATACAATCCGCATGCAAATCCTAGACAACTCAACAAAGATTGGAGAGTCCATGGGCCAATCCTTCCCCATGATATGCCAGGGAAACCCCACAGAGGTCAATGGAACAGACAGAGTAACGCAGGGTGTGAGTGTGTGCTAACAGGATACTGCCACTTTCAGTTCTTTGCACAAAGAGCAGCCACAGAAGATGAAGAATTTCCATCCCATTACACACATCTCCATCGTTGTCAACCCTTCCTTGTCTTGGTCATCCACACAAATAAATACACTGAGCTGCATTCCCAAAGGGATCCCTGTTTTAACCCCTGCTCTGGCTCTAAGAACAACAGAAGTGAAATACATTTGTAGTAAGGTTTGAAGGCCAGAGGATTATTACTACAACTTGTTTCTTGGATCTGGTCTTCCAGCACTCCGGTCATCTGAAGAAGTGGGTTGTGCCCACGAAAGTGTCTACATGTTTTGTAGCCTTTAAGGTGCTACTAGACTATTTGTTGTTGTTTAAGTTTTTCCTGTTACAGACTAACTTGGCTACCTCTCCGAAGCTTTTGTATTACAACTATTAGTTAAACTTTAATGACCTGAATGGGGCTTAACCACACACACTCAAGTGCATTGCTGAATTGGGACTTCCATAAACAAACAGTAAATTAAGATCATGTCATTTCTTTAATAAATCCCACACCGATTTTCATCCTTGCTGCCTACTTAGCTTTATTCCATGCTCACACAATAATTGACCAAGTTCTGAAAATCTTGCTCTGTCAAAAATGGGCAACACATTTGGCCCATTACTAATGCCAAGGCACTTGTACAATTCTATAAAAATAGAACGACACCGAGACCCACCTTCATGGCTTTATGGAGCCTTTCTGCAAAGAAAGCTGATGTGTTTTTCATGCACTTGACTGCAAGAGAAATTGTATTGAAAGGTTAGTTACTCACAACTAAACAAAGATCACTGAAACAAGCATGTGCTTCTATTTTATATATATGATATCTACTACTCAGTTTCTGCTTACTTGAATTGGTCACTGAAATGAGCTTTTAATTTGCAAGGCAAAGTGTTTAACTTTGCATTAGACTTGTAGTAGTTGTAGAGTCAGCGATTGCTCAGGACTTCCTTGTTAAAAGTAAGTCTTTTGCGTCAATGGACTGAGTCTAGGTTATGGGACTGAAGACCCAGGAACAATTCCATTTAAGTGATGAGTAAAATCTATCTTGAACTAGCTTTGCATACATCACTAGAAAGGTAAAAGAGCACACAGAAAACATACTGACAAAAATCCCACCCATCAGTTCGCCAGAATGAAAACCTACAAACTTATCCCGTATTTGATATGACCAAACAGTCAGACACACACTGTAAAACAAACTACGCGATGAACACAGCACACATCTGTCTCATAAGGACAGTTCATATGGAATTATCACACTATGAAAAGCAACCAACTAAGACCAGGATCAAACGTAAAGGAGCAAATCAGAAAAAGGAACAAATGTTTCATTTCATAGCGATGCACACTTTATATAGAAAAAAGTAGGTTTCTTGGGTTTTTAACTGATAGTGTAGATGAAAAACAGCAATCCACATATACACACAATTATCAAAGATGGGCACAATTCACTTCAAAACAGAGGATGACAAAACATGAAATGCATGTTTTCTGTTTACCATAAACTGCTAAATCACTCCACTTGCACTGCAAGATGTTTTAAGTCTATTATTTTAAGTTACCATTTGTACAGTCCAGAAAGCTTTAATGAGAGCAAAACCAAAAGGAAAAAAATATTTACAATTAGACTTTTGCAGACTATATGGAAAGAACAGATCATCCCAGGAAAAAAAGGCTACTTTGAACTACTATGAACATTTTGGAAATGGAGGTTGTTTGTAACTCAAATGTTCATAGCTCTGAACAAAACGTTATGGTTGTTCTTTCAAAAGTTTACAACTGAGCAAAGACTTAATACAGCTTTGAAATTGTACATTGAAGAAAAATGCTGTTTCCCCTTTATTTTTAGTAATTTAAGTTTAACACAGCACTGTACTGTATTTGCTTTTTTGGGAGGAGGTGTGTGTCTCTGCTGCTGCTACTTCCTGTACCAAATGAAATGTGTGGTTGAATGGTTAGTAATTAACGCTGAGATACTACTGTACTTAACAGTCCAACATTGTTACAAAGGTCACGCTGAAAAGGATTATTATTTTGCTTGCAAACTAGGGTCCCAGTCTGTAACTAGATGCAGATATCTGGCCCCCTGTAGTCTTGCAAAGTTTCATTCAAGTCAATGAGACTGCGCACAGGGAAAGGGAACTTCCATAGAGATCAGACTATAAGATCCATGCTGCGACAAACGGCAGCCTTTTCAAATACAATATCCTCAGTGTTAAATACTATGCCAACGGGTACTGGTTTTACTCTGGTATTATGTACTCAATTTGCCATTATTTCTGTTCTGCAGCTTTGGCTGACTGATGTTAGGTTTTGATAATCTAGTAAAGAAATAAATCCCATTCCGGGCTTCAAAAAGCCATTGGAATGACAAGCAGAGAAATATGAGCAGTTAACTAAAAAAAGCAAGTTGTTCTAAAACCGCATTCAAAACTATTAATTATCAGTTAAGGAAGGCAGGATGGATACACAGACTGTGTGCACACGAGCTACGGTGTGCAATATCAAGGACATTTGCACAAAAAGCAACATTTTGCAAAGCTTTGTTTGGAAATTCCATAAAATAAACCTGCCATTTTATCCTAATAGGGCCAAATTGCCTATTCTTCCTCTTCTGGAAGTTAACTGTAGTTTTTCCTATCAATTTCAGCCACAGCAGAATCAAGACACAATTTTTTTTATTGTCATGTTCCTGTTCTAGTCACTATTAAATCCTGTTACAAAACAATAATTCTGTGGCAGCATCAAAAATGTCATAGCAAAGCAGCTATTTTGGGGAGGCAATTTGAGTAAGTAAATTATCCTTTACAGAGAGGGGAGACAGCAATTCTGACCTGGAAAGCATGATCCAACTAAACTGCTGTCTAATGAACTGGGGCCTCATCCAAAGCCCAATGAACCGAGTGGCCTGATTTTCAAGATACTCAATTTGCAGCACATTTGTGGGCTTCAATGGAAGGTACTAGCGCTCAGTACAGCTAAGATACTCAATTTGCAGCGCACTTGTGGGCTTCAATGGAAGGTACTAGCGCTCAGTACAGCTGAAAATGAGGCCACATATGCCTAATTACCTCTCCTATGTTTCACAAGTTCTAAGTTTAAGTCCAGAGGCAAACTGCAGCAGAAGCCTCACCCTTCCTTTTCATGTAAGTTCTTTTTTATTAACCGCTGGCAGGTTCACTGGGAAGCCTGGCAAAAAACTGGAATTACAGGTTAGGTTTCCTCAGAAATAAAAGCAACTCCAGCTAGAACTAGCAATGCAAACACCACAGCTACTCCTGACTCTGTCATCATTGCTACAACAGTAAAGTGAAACAAAGAGAGAGACACGCACCCACTGCCAGCATGCCACTTTCGAGGTCCCCAGACATCTCGCGAGCTATGCTCTTCTCGATATCACGGTTGCACATCCGCTGGTACTCGCTGAAAACTAGATGGGGGTGGGGAGGAGAAAGAAATTTCAGCAACCAGTCTTGTCGGACAGACACTGATTCATGCCTATACTTGCCAATTCCTCTGAAGTTACACTATGCTGACAGAGCTTTTACAGTAGCATTTGATGACAGGGATTCAAATGCTTTTCAGGCCTAATTTGCTAGTTTTCAAAATAAAACAAAGTTCATCCTAAGTTGTACCCTGCAAGACTTCCCCATATTTAGTATTCCATTTAGGCTATGTCTACAGTGCAATGCTATTTCAGGATACTGGAGTATCCTGAAACAGCTATCCCACGTCTTCACAGCAAACCCATTATTTCGGGCTCACTATTCCGACGTCCCTGTAAAGCTCATTCTTCAAGGAGTAAGGGATGTTTCAGAATAGCGCATTATTTTACTAATGGTGCGGTCATGCGAAATACGCTATTTCAAAATAGCATCGAAATAAGATACACCAATTGAACTACACAAATTGTGTATCTTATTTTGAGTTATGGTGCAGTGTAGACGCACCCTTAGACTCTACCCCCTTCATTCATGGTAGCTGTGAAGGGTCGATGTGGATAAATAGGAAATGCTGTCCTCCTATCTCCCTGTCTTCATTTTGCTTCTTCAAAACAGGCATCATAGTCCTGCAATCCTTTTATAACCCAGCAGCAGGAACAGAAAAGGGGTCTGTGGTCTGTCTCTTTATAGACACACAACATTCAAATAAATGATTATTTGAAAATATGTAGAGCACACTTCTAATAGAAACTTTTCAAAAAACATTCAATTCAAGTATGATTTAAAGAAATAACAACATAGCTACCACCCTCAGGTTCGTTTACGGTGCCAGACAACCTGGAGACTCAGGCTCTCTGACCACAGAAGAGGTACAGAATGAACAAGCTTCTCCAGGCAGCCAGATTAGTGCATCAAGAGTGTGTTCATTCTCCATTCTTCTTCATCTTGGCCTCTTTGAGACTGTTCCATCTTACAGAATCTTTCTGCCCCTGCTGTCCTATCCGGTCAGCAGTTAAGGTTAAGAGCTTAAGCTCTTTTGAAAGCCTCAGCAGAAAGACTGCATAGCCTAGCCACAGGTCCCCACAGTTAACTCATTCTTTTTAAAAACTTAAAGGTCGCCTTCCAGCCTATTATCTAAGACCTTCATAGAGTAACAGCTACTCTGTTAACCCAGGATCACAAGGAGGACCAGGGACGAAAAAAAGGATCCTCTTCTACTCTATCACCATGGAGCATTTCTACGCCACATCTCTTAGCCATGCTGAGAACACTAACAAAGATTCGTAGGGGAAATGACATCTAGGGTCTATACGTAGACTCTCTCTATAGATATATATACCAAGAACAAGATATAGAGCTGGGTGGCATCTATCTAGGACCATGATCAATCTTCAGTTGTGGGGAAGGAGGAGAGAAAAATGCCAACCAAAATCTTAGACAGCTGCAAATTGATATTCTGAACTATTATGCCGATGTCTGCACTTGACACTGAAATTGGATTCATCGGTCCCTAGACAGTTCTCTTCAGCAGCATAAAGCTTCTAACCCTCCCGCCCCCCAAAAATCCACATTTCATTAGTTTCCCAGCCCGGTGGTTTTTAGACCTGCCGCCCCCCAAACTTTCACTCTCACGCAGCTCAGCGAGTGGCAGCAATAGCGGAAGTGCGCTAGTGAAGAGCAGCTTTTAACCACAGTGTTGTTTAGCTCGGCTCAGAGATGGTGGTTAAGCAGCATCTTGTCTACACTATGGCTCCCTGCCCCATGGCTACCACCAGTGGAACTGCACTGAGAATAGCAGCAGTGAGGACTGTAAAAGGGGACGATAAAAGATGAGAAGAGAGAAGACCCATGTTGAGATCAGAGCACTCTGGTGTTGGATGGAGAGGGCACGGCACTAGAGACTTAAAAAGGATGCAATTCAGACCTTCTTTTGCTTCCTCGTGCCACCCCAGAATTCCAACAGTCAGCTTTTCAAAACAGCGTTAACTGTGGTATTTGTATGTAGACACCAAAACACCTCCTGATATGAACTGTTACAAGGAACACGTGGGATTGCCATGTACAAATTAAAGTACGGCTTCTTAGGAAGAAATTAAGGCACACATTCAGACAAAGATGAACCTCTATACTTTTTAGGAGAGATGTATGCCTACATTTTTCACTGTACACACTCCCAGCAAGATAAACTGAAAGGTGTGTATGTGTGTGTGTGAGGGAGTGAGCTGAGCTTCTTAGGAAATGTTTTTGTAGCAAATCAAGACACTGTTACCTGCCCTGAGGTGAGCCCTGCTCCTGGCGCACAGAATGGCATTGAACTTGGACTCATCGGTCCCTAGACGGCTCTCTCCAGCAGCATAAAGCTCCTAAACCCAAAAAAAAAATCCATATCGCATTAGTTTCCCGCCTGGTGGCTTTTAGGTCTGCCATCTAGGCACTTGTACGTTTCCCCTCTTCTAACACTGACCCCTTGGTCTGAACATTACTGGAAAATAGGAACACGCAACAAGTGACCCAAGTGGCACTAGCTCGAACCTTTATGCACATTCTGATGAGCCTTATTTGCATCCATAATTGCTAGTGAAAGCTGCTGAACTGCAAGGGGAAACTCCTGAAGATATTAAAAAAACCAACCTAAATAAATGATCAACGATCTCTGGACAGTTATTTCTACAAGTAATTTTTAGAAAGGGTCAAAAAGAAAATATTTTTTAAAAATCTACTAAATAAAAGCAGTAACAATGATTTAAAGCAGAGTAATGACAGAATCTCTCAATTCAATGTGCCCCATTTGAGTAGACCAAATCCTATGGGGTTTCATCGGAACTGTGCTACTAAACTTCCACATACTGAGATGCGATAGACCTGTACACGAGGAAGTATTTCTTACTAACCTGAACATCCCTTTGGACAAGGGACATGTCAACATTTGTACTTTCATCTCTGTTTCCCTGAAAGAATTGCAAATAGGAATGATTAATATGCATACTTTTAAATTAACAAGAAAGCCCCTTCCATTCAAACTCCCTTCTCTACCCTCCCAAAAAGCCACTAAGCCTTTACACTTAAATGTTTATAACCTTGAACAAACAAAACCATTTTTGCTTTGCTATTATAGGGATTCTGGTTCTGAAGGCACAGGAAACTGCAGACTCTTTCACCTTGGGACAAATAAAATTCCTATGAAGAGAGGTAACAGATAAAAATATAGGATTCGCTTGTAATCAAGTAAAGAAAAAAAAAGTTGTGTATAAGTAAGTGTTCACCTGAACTTGGGGAGTGTGCTTGCTTTACTATTGCAATGAACTGGTGCAGGCATAAGAATAATAGAAAGAATGACATTGTTACATCTTAATTTACCTCAAAACCAACAAGATTATGACCTAATTTGTACCTACATCGGTGCAGCCTTGGACTGTTCATTTCTATTATCAAGAGGGAAGCCTAGATTCTAGGCTGAAAGATATTATCTCTCTATTTTTCCATTTCATAGACAGACAACTACTCCCCCATTATAAATTAAAAAAAACTTGTAAATATACTTAACAGCATTATAAATGCTGGAGACAAAGCAGGGTTTGGGGTGGAGGCTGACAATTGAAAACCTCCAATGTAATAACCTCACAACACTCTGAGGGTCTCAACCCCCAGTTTGAGAACCCCTGCTCTAATCCTTGCACAGGGAGAGGGAATTAAAATAAATTCACGAAGTAGGAGACATGAGGATTTATTATGAAGTTATAGGATATCAAAATTATGCAAAAAATTACGTGGCACTCATTTTTATGGCTTGAAGTTAAGATTATTTTGACCCATTTTTCTACATTTTCTTCTCCCTGCTTTCATTTATCTCTTCTCCCTGCTTTCACTTAAGACCCAGAAGCACTAAAACAATCATTTTTCCAACTGGGGATCAGTTTCCAAAGTCTTTACTCAGACAAAAACATACACTCATTTCATTGGAAGATTTTCACGAGTTAAGTTCGTAGTACTTATCCCTTTAATCACTGCAAAGAAAGTAGAACCAACAATAGAAAAATAGGAAAAATAGAAAAAATTACATTGTGTGTCTTTACTATGTTTTTACCCTTTCCTATAAAAGTCAAGACAAGAAACAAGGAGGGAATGAAATATTTAGAGTCTTGTGGTATGCCCACATGATAATTTTAAGTCTTTTCTATCTTTTTATTATCTTGGCCAGAATAATTCTGGCTGCATTGCTAACGGCCTTTCACCATCTTATACCATATGGCACTGTAAGGACCATGTGGGACTGTGGCGAACATATTCAAGAATTCCTTACAAAAACACCACATTTCAATTTTAGATGCTAAAACACAAGGCAGGAGATCGTCAGCAATTTTAAATGGTCACATCTTATATCAGAAGAAGGGAGAGGCGCCATCTTATATCAGAAGAAGGGCTGGATATGTATCTCTCGCTCATCCCACTATGTCCACTGATTTTGAGGAAGGATTGTAAAAAAAAAAGTATTACTTGAGTGTTAAAGTACCTGAGAAAGTGAGATTAGAAGTCTCTGGAAGTGTCCAGAAGTGTCACTTCGTATAGCTTCCTCCAGAGTTTTCTTAAATTCTGCAAGACCAAAAGTCATTGTGCATATCTGCTCATTTCATAAGTCTGCTCTCGGATATAAGTGCTTATCCACAATTTTACTACAAATCCGCGATTAATCCCTTCAATGCCTGGTGGAGGCCTTCCATTACTGTTATGAAAAGGCACTCTGAGGACTGATCACAAAAGATACAATTGTGGGGAATGAGTCAAGTCTAACCTGTTTTGTAGGTCCTGCTGATTTCTCGAATGTGTTCATTACTGCGAGAAGACAGAATTTCAATGAGACAGGCTTCATCTGTGCCAGCACCCTATAGACAAAGGAGAAGGGAGGAAAAAATATATACACACAAATCTTGGACACTCATCTGACTACTGCACTGTATTATTCTACCAAGAAACTCTCTCACTATCTCCAGGTCAGAGTTTAAAACTATGCAATTCAGAAGTCATTATTTCATAAAAGAAATATTCCAGATAAATAGTTCACATGTTACTCATATTCCAAAACTTCCTGAACACAAACAAATTAACAGGCTCTTTTTCTCACTGAGAAGATACAAGAGCCACGTTAAGGGCATTAATTAAGTACTTACAAAATATTTTAAGTGATTTTATCATTTCTAGTTGATTTTATAAAGCAAAATTTTTATAGTTAATATTTCTTATAATGAACAATACTTGAGAGACTGATTTGATCTAATTCTATTGTTGAGGGTCACTAAGGTTATTAACTGTAGTTTCAACCCTGATTACTAAGCCTCTACCCTGCAACTGAGAAATTCCATGCGTACTCTGGTGATTCAGGGATTTACATGTTTATTTCAGCTTTGTTTTTCCAAAATTATCAAAAAAGTTTAAGAATTACCATATTTAAAAATAGAACTATTTTGAAAATAAAGTCTGCAAAACAGTTTTGTTTATTATTGAAATTTAATACCCAGCATTTCCATAATGCTTTTCATACTTTTAAAGCACTTCATGTGAAGTCCTACGTGAGATAGGAAAATATATCCCCATATTACTGATGGGTGAAATAAAGGCCAAGGTTACAGCGAACGTTTCTGGCCAGTAATTTTTGATGCCCAAGTGACATATCTAGGGGCCTGATTTTCAGCGACAGTGTGCACCCCAACCCAAAGGAAGCCAAATAGAGCTGTAATAACCAGCTCCATCATGCCTGAACATTGGCACCCAAGCATAGAAGCTCTTCAAATTAGCAGCCAATGTAGAAAATATTGACCTAATAACTTGCATCCAGCCACACTGGGTGTTAATGGCACAATCAGGATTAGAACTAAGGTCCCAAGTGACCAACACAGATCCTCTGCACAATGTTGTTTGGTTTTTAAACAGTTAGTCCACTGTTTGTCCTGATCTACTTAAGAGCTGGGCCATAAACAATTATTTAAGAGATACTATCTAGAGACAAGTTTATCCAGGAATTTAAGCTCCCAATACAAGTACTAAAAATTACATCTTCATCTGAAAGGCTTAATTTCCCTCAACAAACCTTTATCGACTCCTTTATTTCACAGACGTCAAACACGACAGGCGTCTTCATCATTGCCAAGATTGTCTTCTCAAAGTTGCCCGACAGCTCAGATTTAAGATCTTTGATCAAATCCTGATTGAAAATAATTGTAAAAAAGGCACCGAATCAGGGAAACTGACAAATACTAGCACGAGAGTCTCGCACCTGAACGGAACTTTTGCACATTTAAGAATAAGTAGCACATACACCATATAAAATTGCTCCATTTAACAGTAATAATGACAGCAACTGGCAACAACCTTAACCCCACCCCCCCCACCCCCATCCGCCAAGCAGTGGGACTGGCTAGCCTTTCATAAAAGGCACGGCTGCAGCTGGTGGTTGGATCTTTATGGTCTGCTGTGAAATACTTGCCTTTCCATAAGCTGTTTTGAAGGACAGGAGGATCTGCTGCCTTTGCTTGCTGGAGCGACTTCCAAGACAATCTATAATTGCCTGCTCGTCGGTTCCTGTGAACACAAAGGGTGCATGACGTATCACATTTTAACTCTATCACGTTCTATAAGGGTCTGATTCTGATGTCAGTGGCTATGTTCCCATTGGACTTATCTAGGAGCTGAATTGTATCCTTAGTGCACAGTATACACACTATATCAGATGGGACATTACATTAAATACTCTACTTGTATGCTATAAGGCTCAAATTAATTCAAGCAGCAATCTTAACTGCAAATGCAATGGAAAGAAACATACCAGATTCATAACACTGGGTACTCTTGTGGTGTCTCCCAGCTGATTACCTCAGATGAAGGCTTTGTTTCTTATGGGAAGGATAATAGTCCTGGAACTATTCCACACTTTGCAAGTGTAACAAAAACGAGCAGCGATGGTGGAACAATGCTGCAATACTGCTTTCAACAGATATTAAGCCCATAGACCACTTACCAAATCCTTTCATAGCTTTTCTCAGGACTTCTGCATCCCTCAAGGGGTCAAATCCTGGCGCATCAGTGATTGTGCCTCGGTTTCCAGACTAAATCATGCCAATAAAAAGGACACATGTCAAGATACTATATTAGCCAGAAAACTGGATTTCGCATCACTACTAACTTGTCCTGGGTCATAGCCAAGGTCTCCTCACAGAGAAGAAACAAAGACCGTTCCAACGGAATTCAAACGGTTTATTCATTTTTATATTCAAATGATATGGAAATTTGGAAAAGAAAAAGCCTCATAGGTCCTAAACACAGGGCCTCATTAATTAAGGTTTGATTAAGTGGAATATTTTGTTAGCAAAGGCAGATTTAATAAAAAGTTTAAAATGTGCCGTAAGAATTTCTTTTGGGATATTTTGCTAAACAGATTTCATGTCACCTATTCAGTATTTATTTTGTGGCTATCTGAACGAGAGATAGTGCTCTCTCTCTCTCTCTCTTTCTGACCAAACCTTTTGTCCATGATTTTATTGGTCCTAGTTTGCTTCTGGTTTACACAAAGGAAACATGCAGCAATTATACACACTGAAATGCCTTACTGTTCCAGGTGTGACTATGGGCATCCCAGATCCTGAATAAGGTGGCACAGAGGGATTCACAGCTGGGCCTGCAGGATAACTTGGCATTGGCTGCTGCCCTGGTGGTGGCATAGGCTGTTGCCCAGGTGGTGGCATAGGCTGCTGCCCTGGGTAGGTCATTGGCTGCTGCCCTGGGTAGGTCATTGGCTGCTGCCCTGGGTAGGTCATTGGCTGCTGCCCTGGGTAGGTCATTGGCTGCTGCCCTGGGTAGGTCATTGGCTGCTGCCCTGGGTAGGTCATTGGCTGCTGCCCTGGGTAGGTCAGAAGCTTGCTGTCCTGGAGGAGGTTGCCCGAAGCCCCCTGGAGGGACAGGGGGAAAGCCTCCTGGTGCAGGAGGATATACACCTTGGGGTACACTGGCACCCCCAAACGTTCCGGACAGATTAGAAGCCTGCAATGACAGACAATGAAAGCAATTCAGATTAAGATGGAACAGGTATTGACTTTCAATTGTGTAAACTTAGTGTTAAAAGAAAACTGAAGTAGAGAGCCCGCCACAACCAATGGAGGGAAGTGTATATCTGGGTGTGAAAATCTCCTTTCCCAAAGGAAAAGATTGACCAGCAGCCAGAGAAAATGAGCCATGCTCCACACATGGTTGCTACCATCTTCTCTAAAGTGTCTCTACCTCAGCCATTCAGAATGCACAGTCACATAACTACAGACTATTACAGTAGACATACTTATGCAACAAGGCCTAGCCACGTCACCCTTACAGCTGAAAATGTTATCCAATTAACACCAGCACCAAAAAACCCAAACAAGGAACAGGTCAATTGCTTTCCTGATCATGAAGGTTTTACTGTAGCAGCAGGAAACTACTCTCAGATACTGTGAGTAACATGCATTTGCTTCCCTTCCTGGGCTATTTTATGTGGCAGACAAATGTGCTACAATCTCAACTTTTAAAAGCCTCTGCAATGCATTTGAGCATTTGGGTAGAAGTCTTCAGAAGTTACAGTTTGGCTGTTTAGTTTCCATGACGGATCTCATATTTTTTGCATTCTTAGATTGGGACCTAACCCAAGAGGTAGAATCCCACAGAACTATCCTACAGTGATCTGTCTGTTTGTAAATGGGACAGGAGAGGGATCACGTGAGGATTACCTGCTGTGTTCCCTCTCTCTGGGACATCTGGCATTGGCCTCTGTCGGCAGACAGGATACTGGGCTAGATGGACCTCTGGTCTGACTCAGTGTGGCTGTTCTCATGACCGCACTATGCTCTTGCAAAGCATTCCAAAGGACGGCATGGTTCTAGTCCAGTGAGGGGCAACCTACACTAATGAATGGGCTGCATGGATGGTCCTCCATCTCAGTGGGCTGCAAAACTGTAGTAACCAAGATGGTCTCCCGGGACAGGGAGTTTTGCTAATTGCACTAGAATTTGTGGGGTGTGCCGACTGAACTGTAGCAGTGCTTTGATTGGATGCAGGAGCAGCGCACGGCTCTCACAATGTTGTGTGCAATCAGCACACTCCTCACTTCGTGTGCCCTTGCTTTAAATTCATGTCACTTTTGTAACAGTGGTAGGAAAAAAACTACATGGAGGAAAATCAGTACAGTCTGGCAATCCTGTGTGTGGGCAATAGTAAACAAAATGTCTTGTGGGCCACACAAAACCCCAACGGGCCGCATGCGACCCTTGGGCTGCAAGTTACCCACCACTGTTCTATTTGGTTTCATGCTGTTGGTGTTGCCACATTCACTACTGAGAACATGCTGTTTATTTCAACCGACTATCAAATATCTCCACATAATAAACACTAAGAAACGCACTTTGTGGTGCAAATGGCCACAATTTGCCTTAGTCTGTCATACCGTATCACCAGAAACACAAAATAGATGAGGTAATCGCTGTCTCTAGATAAAAACTTTTTCCTGCCGGATGACAATGATGTCAACAGGTTCTCTCAGCGAGAGAGAAAGGGTTAAGCGAGCATAGCAAGCAGAGGGCAGAGCCCCCTAGTATCTTTTACTGAACCAACTTCTCTTGGGAAGAGAGAAACAAGCTTTTGAGCCACACAGAGCTCTTTGGCTGTGGGAAAGGCATTCCCAGCATCTCACCAAAACACAAGATGGAAAAGATAGTTTAGCATAATTGGCAAATGGAGACTACTCAATATAAAGTGTGTCTTTAACATCCCTGCAAGCTTAGGACCAAATGAGAGATTTCGTTGAGTTACTGATTTTTCTGATAAGCCGTAAATCTGGTGGCTCTGTTCAGTCCATGACTTTTAGTGTCTAGCAGAGTAATAAATTTAAGCACCTAGGTTCATCGTTTGTGCAGCTTTCCTTTGAGCACAAGGACTGAGAGGTCAGATGCACATTGATCACTTTGTGTATAAACAGCATACAGCAAAAGGAGATTCATCAACTATTTCAGTCTCCCTGCAGCTTCAGCTTTGAGCACAAGAATAAAATAAAAATAGAAAGAGAAATCACTTCTGCATTTTTCTAGGCCTACAAAAATTATTTTCACCCTAACCTGCTACAAAGAGACACATCCAGGCTTAAAGAAGGGGTGTGGGAGACAAGAGTTGAGCCACAATCTCACTGTGTATCTTCACCTAAGTCACTTGTTCACGTCTTGCTCACTCAAACTGGCTAAAGAGTTAGGTATAAAGCAGAAATTGGTCTGAGATTTTCAGTGTGAACCAATGAGCCACATACAGACTTTGTACTGCAAAAGCCACGATATCAAGCAAAGATTTTTTTAAAGCCACCTAAAAGTTAGGTCCCTACAGCCACCTTCAGTTGACTAAATTAGTGGCCTGATTTTCTTAAATGCCGAGCACCCAGCAGCATACATTAGCCACAGTGGGAGTTAACGTATGCTCAGTACTTTTCACACTCAAGCCAGGAATTCAACTAGTTTGTTTTCCCCCCATTTCCCACACCTCTTTTTGAAGTTTTGCCCCCAAAACATATGAAGCATTGGGTAACTCCTGAATGTTCCTAGGCAAAACATACACACTGGAAACCTATCCAAGCTGCTTGCTGCTAAGGTAGGATACCACTGGACACTGAAGCAGATCATGATTACAACATATTAAATAGAAATATACTCACCAACCCTGACATATAGTCAGGATTAAATTGATTAACATAGCCGCCAACATTTTCCAGTCCGATTGGAGGTGGATTTGAAGAAGGATAAGCAGCAGAGCCGCCCCATGGATTACTACCTGAAATAATAAAAGTCACAGTGAACCACAAAGCCTAAACATTTTTCTACCCCATGTGTTATTACTTGCATTGTTTTACTGTAATATCTATTAAACACAGGTAGTTTGGACAAGCTAGCAAAAAAGTTGACAAGGTTCAAGTGAGCAGATTTCACACTCAATCGAGGTGATAACATAAGATTATAGCAAAAGCAGCCCCAGTAGATACCTGCAATAAATGCGTGAAGTATCCTCTGACCATTATGTTCACAAAATGCAAACATGACAGTTATATAATACAGTTGAAGTCGCTTCAGTCCTGACATTTAAGACCAGTTATTTGGGGATGGCAGCTGTTGACACTGGATATTTGGCAGGCCAAGTATTCCAGCAGGATAGACATTCCTAGGGACTTCATAGTTCTGGTAGCATGGCGGTCTCCCTGTATCCCTTATCTAACAAATTGTGTCCAGGTTCAAACACCTGCCTGGAGCAGTAGCTAGAGAGGTCTTAGTTCCAGCACTGTTGGGAGCCCTCCAGCAACCCTGTCCATTTGGCTGTATTCACTGCTTCATCCCATTGTACATTCAATGTTACAACCAGCGTTCCATATGGCTTATTGGTCTCAAATCACACAGCAGAGTTGTACTACGTAGGTGGCATGGACCTCCTCTAGCTCTTTTCCCAATCCAGTGCCATCAGTGCAGTTTCCTTTGTTATTTCTCACTCGGGCCATTTTCAGATGCGACTATGGACACTGGATGGATCAGTTTTCGGGTGCTCCACTTGAAACACTGTGAGTGGGTCCGATGGACAGACAGTGCCGAGCCTCGTCCATCTGGAAATCACGTTTCTGTAAGGCACAACAAGCTGGGTACCCAGAACCGCTCATTGTGCTTGACACCCATGGTCTCCAGGATCAAAATCAATTTATTCTCTACTGACCCCAGTGCTGAGTGGGCTGCGAGTGCCTGTCCATTAGGGGCAGGGATGTTAAAAACCATTCAGTAAGGAAACCATGTATAGCTTAGCTTTATACTAACGAGCCTGCAGCGAAGCTTCCTCCTTGGGAGCAGTGGGCAGCTCTTGCCCACCCAGCTCCAGGGGAGGAAGCTTCCCTGCCCTGCCGCAGCAAAGCCACCTCCCCTAGGGCCGGCTGAGTTTAACAATCACCATTAGCCAATGCGCATCAGCTTATCAGTTAAATGGTTGATCTCTAACACCCCTAGCTAGGCTGAAAGAACTCACTTCATTTCTTAAGAGGCCACCTAACCACCAGAGATAAGAACTTTCATTCACTGCTACCCTGAATGTTCAGTGATGGCCTAGAAACAAAAAAGACTCTGTGCTCCAATCCCCATTTCTTGAAGACATTTAGATCCCACTTTCGGGAGCACTATGTCATCCTGGGTAAGGTTGTATGGATAAGTTACCTGGTGCTGCTGGAGGATACCCGCCTGCTGGAGGATAGCCTGGGTAACTCATGGCTAAGATCTGGAATGAAAGGAGAACAGTATTTATGAAGTTATTTTTAAAAAATATTCTATGTTTTATATGCCCACATATATTTATTGTAGAGATGGTCAGTTCATCTAAAACGTTAGATCTTTCTGGGCTACCCTTTCTTGTGTAAACCATGCAGCTTCTTTCTGATAACAAAGACACGAACATAAGGTCCCCTGTTCTCATCGTGTAGTGCTGGGTCAAAGGCATTGGGTAACAGCATGGGAACACTTCATTTTAAGGATCAAGTCATGGTACGAGCATGCACACTCAAATGACACAAGGAGCAACAGCCACTGACAGCATTCAAGTGCTCTAGAATTAACCTGACAAGGCTGCAGTTTATGTTAATCATACCTGTCGCCTCCATCTATTAACTCCCCAGCCTGACACCCATTGAATCATTAACAATGTGTGGGCTAGTTACTTATTACATCATTACCCTACGCCAATCATTAGGTAAGCCTCAGTCCAACAAAGCACTGAAGTATCTTCATGATTCTAATCCATAACTAGCTCGCCAACCTTTCCCCTTCTTTCTCGGTACACACTGTTGACTAGCCACTGTTCAATGATATTGTTTGCTAGACACTGCTCCAATCCACCTGTAATCCCTACTGTACTATTAACCATCTGCCAGGTTACTATCTAAAAGGGTTAGTTTGTATTACTAGCTGAAAGGATGAGCTCTCAAGTGTGCCCAGGCTTCATGTTGCCATACCCTAGAAGGTCATGCATTTACAGGTGTAATGTTTTCACCATGGGGTGTAATTCTTCAGTATAATTTTCATTGTCAGGTTTTGCACACGAGTGCTGGAGTTGGTAGCCTACGGTATACAGGAGCTCAGACTAGGTGATCTGGTGGCAACTTCTGGCCTTAAACTCCATGATTATACAACTAGGTTTGCACTTGAAATACCATAGCAGCACAGCTGTAGTGTTTTAAGTGCAGGCATTCCCTATGGCAAGAAGAGGGGTTTTCCCATTGGCACATATAATCCGGGGGTAGGTCAGCTGAGCTATATCACTCAGGGATGTGGATTTTTCATACTCCTGAGCAAAGCAGCTGGGTTGACCTGACTTTTTAGACCAGGCCTAAGAGAGGGTGGGCACAGTGGATATGCAGGAAGACATATGTGATGTGATACAATAAAATAGAATTTGTAAAGAGGTAACAGGAAGGGAGAAGGGGAAAAAATCAGGTCAAACTCTGGCTACATCAATCCTGAGTGCCCCTGTAGGCATTAAATTGTTCGAAAAAGTCAGCCGTCCATGTATACTGACCAAACCAAATGCACATGAATCAGACATCAGAAATAGTAACACACAAACTTTAAGGGGAACATTTTAACCTATGTGGTTACTCAACCATGAATTTAAAAGAAGCCATTCTTCCACAAAGGAATTTCACCTCCCAATTACAGAGAGAAACTACAGAAGTTGAATTTGAATACAAATCTGACACTTATCCTGAGCTTGAATAAAGACATTAACTGGTTAACGCACCACAAAGTCAATTTTCCCGCCTTTGACTTCCTCATTTCTACATCAAAAACTATGAATGGAAAATATTCAGTCCACTTAATTAGCTTCATTAAAAACAGGTCCTACAATTGGCAGGTACAGGCAGTCCCCGACTTACGCGGATCCGACTTACGAACAGGGCTTTTCTCGCCCTGGAGCTCACAGGCGGCGGGTCGCCACCCGTGTCCTCCGGGGCGAGAAAAGCTTCTCCCGGTCTCCCTGGTCTGCTGGGGGAGGGGGGGGGTCCAGCAAAGCTGCTGGACCCCCCAGCAGACCAGGGACACCAGAGCAAAGCCGCACAGGCAGCGGGAGTCCCGCTGCCTGGGCGGCTTTGCTCGGGTGTCCCTGGTCTGCTGAGGGGGTCCAGTGGCTTTGCTGGACCCCCCCAGCAGACCCGGGGGACAGGAGGAAAGGAGGCCCGGCGG